GCACTGCATAAAAACATCTGGCCAACGATGCACAGCATACACAATGGTGGTCCCATAGATTATAATGGAACAGAAGAATTCCTATCACTAGTAACATCCTACTCATGATGGCCGGAGGCATCCCTCACCTACTGTGATGACGCTGGAGTAAAAAACCCCACTGTGCTGCCAGTTGTATAATAGGTTAGCACATACAATCACAGATAAGCCATAACACAGTAATGACAATAAATGACTATGTTACAGGTTTGCGTATTTACTATACTATACTTTTTAATCATCATTTTAGGGTATGCTCCTTCTAATTATTAAGAAAAACAAGGTTGGGCAGGGTGGCTTAGCCTGTAATCCTAGCACTTTGGGAGACCGAAGCGAGAGGATTGCCTGAGCTCGTGGGTTCAAGACAAGCCCAGGCAACTTAGCAAGACCTTGTTTCTACAATAAATCAAAAAATTAGTTGGGCATGGTAGCATGCACCTGTAGTTACAGCTACCTGGAAGGCTGAGGCAGAAGGATCCCTAGAGCCCAGCAGGTCGACACTGGGGTAGCCATGAGTGTGACACTGCACTAGAGTCTGGGTGACAGAATGAGACGCCTACTCAAAAGAAAAAAAATGAAAAGATATAACAGGCCAGGAAGCATGGTGACTTAAGCCTATAATCCCAGCACTATGGGAGGCCAAGGTAAGGACTGCCTGCGTTCAGGGGCTCAAGACCAGCCTGGGCAACTTGGTGAGACCTCGTCTCTACAATAAATCAAAAAATACGCCGGGTGTGGTAGTGCATGCCTGTAGTTCCAGCTACTTAGAAGGCTGAGGCAGAAGGATCGCCCAAGCCCAGCAGGTCGAGAGTGCAGTGGCAGTGGCCATGAGCATGCCACTGCACTCCAGCCTGAGTGACAGAGTGAGACCCCGACGAAGGAAAGAAGGAAAGAGGAAGGGAGGGAGGGAGGGAGGAAGGAAAAGAAGGAAGGAAGGAAGGAAGGAAATAAGTTAAACAATAACAAGATTTTTTTTTTAAGCCGGGCTCGGTGGCTCAGCCTGTAATCCCGCGCTTTGGGAGGCTGAGATGAGTGGATTGCCTGAGTCCACGGGTTCAAGACCCGCCTGGGCAACTTGGTGAGACCTCATCTCCACAATAAATAAAAAATTAGCCGGGCGTGGTAGCACACGTCTGTAGTTCCATCTACTTGGAAGGCTGAAGCGGAAGGATCGCCGGAGCCCAGCAGGTCGCAGCTGCGTTGGCCAGGAGTGTGCCACTGCACTCCAGTCTGGGTGACAGAGTGAGACCCTAACTCAAAAAAAAAAAAAAAGATATTTTTTTAAATGGACACAGTGGCTCACACCTGTAATCCTAGCACTTTGGGAGGCAGAAACGAGAGGATTACCTGAGCCCAGGAATTCCAGACCAGCCTGGGCTACTTGGCGACACCTCATTTAAAACGATCCAGGCGTGGTGGCGTGTGCCTGTGGTTCCAGCTCCTTGGAAGGGCAAGGCAGAAGGATCGCCTGAGCCCAGCAGGTCGAGGATGCAGTAGCTGTGAGCGTGCCACTGCACTCCAGCCTGGGCAACATGGTGAGACTTCAACTCAAAAAATAAATAAATAACATTAACTGTAAAACAGCTGCAGGCAGGTTCTTCAGAATGTTTCTCAGAAGGCATTCTTACCATAAGAGATGACAGCTCCATGCCTGTTGCTGTCCCTGAAGGACTTCCCAACGTGGAAGTAGAAGACAGTAATATTGACGATCTTGACCTTGAACAGTCCTAGGCTAATGCCTGCATTTGTGTCTCAGTTTATTGCTGTTGTTTTCCTCCTCCGCCTGCCCTCTGAGTCTTAGTTTTTAACAAAAAAGCTTAAAAATAAAAATACATAAAGAATGTTTTTAAGCCGGGCTCGGTGGCTCAGCCTGTAATCCCGTGCTTTGGGAGGCTGAGGTGAGTGGATTGCCTGAGCCCATGGGTTTGAGACCTGCCTGGGCAACTTGGCGAGACCTCATCTCTACAATAAATCAGAAAAAAAAAAAAACAGCCGGGTACAGTAGCGCTCACCTGTATTTCCAGCTACTTGGAAGGCTGAGGCAGAAGGATCGCCAGAGCCCAGCAGGTTGAGGCTGCGGTGGCTGGGAGCATGCCACTCCCCTCCAGCCTGGGCGACAGAGTGAGACTCCAACTCAAAAAAAAAAAAAGAATGTTTTTAAGAGAAAAAAGTTTATAAAATAAGGATCTAAAGAAAGAAAATATTTTTGTATAGCTATACATGCTTGTGTTTTCAGCTAAGTATTATTATGAAAGAGTCAAAAAGTTACAAAAACTTTAAAAGTTTTTAAAAGTTTAGGCAGTTACAAATAAGTTAAGGTTAAATTACTATTGAGAAAGAAATTTTTTAAATAAATTTAGTGTAGCCTTAGTGTACAATGTTTATAAATTCTACAGTGGTGTACAATAATATCCTAGGCCTTCACATTCACTCACCACTCAGTGACTCAGAGCAACTCCTAGCCCAGCGAGTTCCATTCATGGTGAGTGCCCTTTACAAGTGTACCAGTTGCCTGTAATCCCAGCACTTTGGAAGGCCAAGGTGAGTGGACTGCCTGAGCCTGTGTGTTCAAAACCCACCTGGGCAACTTGGTGAGAACTCATCTCTATAATAAATCAAAAATTAGGCCGGGCTCGGTGGCTCAGCCTGTAATCCCGCGCCTTTGGGAGGCTGAGGTGAGTGGATTGCCTGAGCCCGCGGGTTCGAGACCCGCCTGTGCAGCGAGACCTCATCTCTACAATAAATCTAAAAATCAGCCGGGCGTGGTAGCGTGCGCCTGTAATTCCGGCTACTCGGAAGGCTGAGGCGGAAGGATCGCCGGAGCCCAGCAGGTCGAGGCTGCGGTGGCCGAGAGCGGCCACTGCGCTCCAGTCTGGGCGACTGAGTGAGACTCCCACTCAAAAAAAAAAATTAGCCAGGCATGGTAGCACACGCCTGTAGTTTCAGCTACTTGGAGGGCTGAGGCAGAAGGATCGCTGGAGCCCAGCAGGTCAAGGCTGCCGTGGCCGGGATCGGCCACTGCACTCCAGTCTGGGTGACAGAGTGAGACTCCAACTCAAAAAAAAATAATAATAATAATAATCAGCCAGGCGTGGTGGCACATGCCTGTAGTCCCAGCTACTCAAGAGGCTGAGGTGGAAAGATCATCTGAACCTAGCAGGTCAAGACTGTGGTAAACTATGATCGTGCCACTGCACTCAAGCCTGGGAAATAGAGTGAAATTCCTACTCAAAACAAAAAAGTTCCTAGGAGCCAGGCACAGCGACTCACACCTGTAATTCCAGCACTTTGAGAGGCCAAGGCTGGAGAATCACTTGAAGCCAGGAGTTAAAGATCAGCCTGGGCAACAAAGCAAGACTCCATCTCTAAAAAATAAAATAAGTTAGCCAGCAAGATGGCTCACACCTGAAGTCCCAGTTACTCAAGAGGCTGAGGTGAGAAAACAGGATGAGCTCAGAAGTTCAAAGTCGCAGTGACCATGCCATTGCATGATCATGCCATTGCACTCCAGCCTGCTGACAGATCAAGACCTTGTCTCTAAAAAATAAAAATGAAATAAAAAGTTCCTAGGTATTAAGCTGGGTTTGGGAACCACTACATGAAGTGATTCCTATTCGCTTTACTAGAGGTTGCACCACTGGATTCCTGTAAACAACTATATCATCCGTCCCACACATAAAATATAGAAATCTTAAAATTTGGTTTTTCAAAGTTAAGTTACCATTTACCAAGAACATGTCTTTGACATTAAGTAAAGACCTTTAGGTTGGGCTCAGAGGCTCAGCCTGTTATCCCAGCACTTAGGGAGACCAAGGTGAGTGAATTGCCTGAGCCTGTGGGTTTGAGACCAGCCCAGGCAACTTGGCGAGACTTCGTCTCCACAATAAATAAAAAAATTAGCCAGGCATGGTAGCACACACCCATAGTTCCAGCTACTTGGAAGCCTGAGGCAGAAGGATCGCCGGAGCCCAGCAGGTAGACCCTGGGGTGGCCATGAGTGTACCACGGCACCCCAGCCAGGGCGACTAAGTGAGACTCCAACTCAAAAAACAAACAAGCAAAAAAATCTTTAGGAGGGGCTACATTTAAAAAGATTAGAGAGTTCGTGACCCACCTGGGCAACTTGGTGAGACCTCATCTCTACAATAAATCAAAAAATTAGCCGGGTGTGGTAGCGCGCATGCCTGTAGTTCCAGCTATTTGGAAGGCTGAGGTGGAAGGATCGCTGGAGACCAGCAAGTCGAGGCTGCGGTAGCCGGGAGCGGCCACTGCACTCCAGTCTGGGCGACAAAGTAAGACTCCAACTCAAAAAAAAAAAGATTAGAGTAAGACAACAAGTGCCCATTAAGAGGTCCACTAAGCTGGGCTCGGTGGCTCAGCCTCTAATCCCATGCCTTTGGGAGGCTGAGGTGAGTGGATTGCTGAGCCCACAGGTTCGAGACCAGCCTGGGCAACTTGGCAAGACCTCATCTCTACAATAAATCAAAAAACTAGCCGGGCATGGTAGCACGTGCCTGTAGTTCCAGCTACTCGGAAAGCTGAGGGGGAAGGATCGCCGGAGCCCAGCAGGTCGAGGCTGCAGTGGCCGGGTGCGGCCACTACACTCCAGTCTCGATGACAGAGTGACACTCCAACTCAAAAAAAAAAGAGGTCCACTGGCCAGGCACAGTGGCTCATGCCTGTAATCCCAGCATTTTAGGAGGTGGAGACAAGAGGAATGCCCGAGCCCACAGGATTGAGACCAGCCTGGCCATCATTGGAAGACCTCATCTCTACAATAAATCAAAGAATTCAGCCGGGCATAGTGGCACATGCCTGTGGTTCCAGCTACTTGGAAGACTGAAGAGGAAGGACTGCCTGAGCCTTAGGGGTCCAAGACTGCAGTATCTGTGAGCATGCCACTGCACTCCAGCCTGGGCAACAGTTGAGACTCCAAATCAAAAAAAAGGGGGCCCACTTACCTCATATTTTCTGTAGTTCACCAGCAAAGCCAAGAGAACAACAGCATCATGTCCATGCTCCCTACGACTTGGGGGATGGGAGAGTATCTGTAACAAAGAACAAAAATACTCGATGAGCCAGATGTGGTGGCTCATGCCTGACATCCCAGCACTTTGGGAGGCCAAGGCAGGACGACTGCTTGAGACCAGGAGTTCAAGACCTGCCCAGACAACACAGCAAGACATCATCTCTACAAAAAAAATTACCCAGGTGTGGTGGTACGCACCTGTAGTCAGAGTTCTTAGAAGGCTGAGGCAGAAGGATCACCTGAGCCCAGGAGGTCGAGGCTGTGGTGAGCCGTGAACATGCCACTGCACTCCAGCCTGGGTGACAAAGTGAGACCCTGACTCAAAAACAAAAAAATCCATAAAATACAAAAACAAAAACAAAAATACATGATAGAAGTTTATCTGTAACAAAAAACAAAAATTCATTTCTATGAATTCTCAGTTCCTAGGAACTGAGGTAGAGAAAATTTCAGGCAGCAATTTACCCAAAAAAGAAAGCAGTAACAGGCCGGGCACGGTGGGAGGCCGAGGTGAGAGAATTACCTAAGCCCATGGGTTCAATAACAGCCTAGGCAACTTGGCGAGACCTCATCTCTATAATAAATCAAAAAATTAGTCAGATGTGGTATTGCAAGCCTGTAGTTCTGGCAACTTGGAAGGCTGAGGCAGAAGGATCACCTGAACCCAGCAGGTTGACGCTGGGGTGGCCATGAACGTCCCACTACACTCCAACCTGGGCAATAGAGTGAGATTCCAACTCAAATAAATAAATAAATAAATAAATAAAGAGGTAACAAAGGAATTGACCCACCTGCAAAATCGCTTCAAATATGCTGTTGATCATTACATACTCCAGGATAGTATTCTGGCTGATGTTATCTGTCACCTGAATGCAAGAAAAGGCTTTTTAAACTCTGTCTTGAGGCACTCTGATATCTCAAGTAATCTCCTCCCCTAGCATCTAAGAGAAACAGAAATGTTAAAACATTCTACTAGATACTTAGTAGACCTTTCACAAGCACTTCCAAAATCACTAGAGCCTGAATAGACAATCAGCAAATTAAAATGTCCTGGCTCTCTGAATTTATTATTTCTCTCATTCCCTCAAAAAGCGTTTGCTTAACAGTTTTTGGGTTTCATTCCTCAAATACAAAGGAAGGGCTTTATGAATTCTTAAGCCTTTAGGAGTCTGTAGGAGTCTCTAGTTGTAAGAAAATGGAACCACCCGTGAAGTAAACGAACACCACCTCACCTTCCTTCCTAGAAAGTACAAGCCAGCCTCCAGTTATAAAATCAAAGCCAAAACAAATAAAAAAATTCAGACTCACAAGAATTATTTCCATCTGAGACCTAATATGAAGAACAAGTCTAACAATACGGAAGACAGTAGTTCTCCTGGAGTCATACTTCTCAAGTGATAAATAACACAGGCAGCAAGCTAAAAAAACCAGCAGCAAGCCGGGCTCGGTGGCTCAGCCTGTAATCCCACGCCTTTGGGAGGCTGAGGTGAGTGGATTGCCTGAGCCTGCGGGTTTGAGACCCACCTGGGCAACTCTGCGAGACCTCATCTCTACAAAAAATCAGCCGGGCATGGTAGCGCATGCCTGTAATTCCAGTTACTTGGAAGGCTGAGGCAGAAGGATCGCCTGTAATTCCAGCTACTCGGAAGGCTGAGGCGGAAGGATCGCCGGAGCCCAGCAGGTCGAGGCTGCGGTGGCCAGGAGCGGCCACTGTACTCCAGTCTGGGCGACAGAGTGAGACTCCAACTCAAAAAAAAAACCAGTAGCAGCTGGCCGCAGTGGCTCACGCCTATAATCCCAGCACTTTGGGAGACAGAGGCAAGAGGACCACCTGAGCCCAAGGGTTCGAGATGAGCCTGGACAACTTGGCAAGATCTTATCTCTACAATAAATCAAAAAATTAGCCAGGTGTGGAGGTATGTACCTGTGGTTCCAGTTTCTTGGAAGGCTGAGGCAGAAGGATTGCCTTAGCTCAGCTGCTCAATGCTACAATGGCCATGAGCATGCCACTGGCCTCCAGCCTGGGTAACAGAGTAAGACTCCAATCCAAAAAAAAAAAGCCAGCATTGGAAGGCTGAGGTGGAAGGATCACCAGAGCCCAGCAGGTGGAGGCTGTGGTGGCCGGGGACAGCCACTGCAATCCAGTATGGGTGATAGAGTGAGACTCCAACTCAAAAAAAAAAAAACAAAAAAAAGCCAGCAGCTGCTCCAAAGACCAACTTCCAGAAACAAAGCCCATGCAACCAACTTCTAATATACCCAAACACCAGAAAGTAAAGTAATACTCCAGTAGATATTTTTTTTTCTTTTTCCTTTTAACTTTGGGCTCAAGTATTCAAAAAGTTTGCCCCACCGTCAATAAATACCCTTGATAAATATACATAGGTCACTTACAGTCACTAAGCAAAGGAGAAGCTTCAGACATAAACTCTTCAGACTCTCAGAACCTTCTGCACAAAGCAATGAATCCAAACTCTCCATCAAGTTCTGGAAAAAGAACCATAAAGCATTCAACCATAATAAATATAGTATCTATCCCCCATCTTTGTCCAACTCCAGGTGATGTTACACAGGGTAATGCGAATAACACAAAATTAAACAACCATATCTGTGCGGGCATGATGGCTCACACCTGTAATCCCAGCATTTTGGGAGGCCAAGACAGGAGGAATCACTTGAGCCCAGGAGTTCAAGACCAGCCTGGGCAACATAGCAAGACCTCATTTAAATAAATATATAAATAAATAAAACTACCATATCATTTCCCTAAGGTCAAGCCTTGCAAAATTAAACAAAGAAAAGAAAGACTTCTCAGGTTGTAGTTGCTTTAGAAAAAAAAAAAAAGAAGACAACTTCAAAGTCTAACTATTTTGGGGAAGACGCTTTAGAACAATTGCACAGAACAATAAAGAATTCAGTGTTCTATAGGCCGGGCATGGTGGCTCAAGCCTGTAATCCCAGCACTTTGGGGAGCCAAGGCAAGAAGAATGTCTGAGCCTGCAGGTTCAAGACCAGCCTGGGAAATATGGTGAGACCTCATCTCTACAGTAAATCGAAAAATTAGCACATGCCTTTAGTTCCGGCTACTTGGAAGGCCGAGGTGGAAGGATTGCCAGAGCCCAGCAGGTCGATGCTGGGGTGGTCGTGAGAGTGCCACTGCACTCCAGCCCGGGCGATGGATTGAGACTCCAACTCAAAAAAATAATAATAATAATAATTCACTGTTCTACGAAATGAATGTTTGCAGGCTGTCATTGTCATATAAACGTTTAAGTTAGAATAAAGTAAATAAAAAAGGGAAACCTAGTGGTTAAATAACTATATATAAGTTTCATTATTTGATAAAGAACGCATCACTCGACACAGGCACACTGAACAAATGACAAAGAAATAGTATCATGACACGCTGTCACTGGCCATATGCATTATCCAGCAAAGTTAGCTTGTGTCCACCCTAGTCAATGCCACTTGGCAATGTGACTGAAATGTACCACTTGCACTAAAAATCAGCTGACACACCCAAACTAATCAAAAGATTAAACCCTTATAAACTACAACAGAGGGAAGAAAAGAAATAGTCTTCCTTAAATGCAGGAGAAGAATGGATGGAGAATAAGGATTTAGCATGCTGGAAGGCCAAGGTAGAGGTTCAAAATAAGCTGCTCCAGCTCAAATCAATAAATATATGAGCATCTCCGCTATGCTAAATACTGTGCTTGTGAAGAATGTAAGAAAAAATAAAGACTATGACCCTTGCTCTCACAGTGCTTTTAGTCTAATGGCAGAGAAAAATAAGCAGTTTCAATTCAATGGCTATTATGACAAAAATATACATGGAGGAAGGGAATTGGCTCTAAAGTCACCTGTCCCAGGACTCCTCACGGGTGAGCTGTATGTTGAAAATCAGTAAAAATTAATTAAAACTTGAGAGGGGGAAATGCCAGACAGGCATTAGCATGCTCAAAGACATATGCGAATAAAATGGCCCTGGTGTGAGACTGGAATAAAAGTAGTTTAGCCAGGTGCAGTGACCACTCCTGTAATCCCAGCACTTTTTTGTTTTTTGTTTGTTTGTTTTTTGAGTTGGAGTCTCACTCTCACCCAGGCTGGAGGGCAGTGGCACGCTTCCAGCCACCACAGCCTCGATCTGCGGGTTAGGGGATCCTTTCACCTCAGCCTTCCAAGTAGCTAGAACTACAGACACACCCCACCACACCTGGCTTATTATTATTATTATTATTATTTTATTGTAGAGACACGGTCTCACCAAGTTACTCAGGCTGGTCTCGAACCCCTGGGTTCAGGCAATCCTCTTGCCTCGGCCTCCCAAAGTGCTGGGATTATAGGCATGAGCCACCATGCCTGGCCAATCCCAGCATTTTGGGAGGCCGAGGCAAGAGAACTGTCTGAGCCCACAGGTATGAGAACAGCCTGGGCAACATGGCAAGACCTCATGTCTACAATAAATCAAAAAATTAGCCGGGTATGGTGCTGCACACCTGTGGTTCCAGCTACTTGGAAGGCTGAAGTAGAAGGATCCCCTGAGTCTAGCAGGTCAAGGCTGCAGTGCCACTGCACTCCAGCCTAGGCTACAGAGTGAGACTCGGACTCAAAAAAATAAATTAATTAAATAAAACAAAAGTAGTTTAAGCCATGTGTGGTGGCTTACACCGGTAATCCTAGCACTTTAGGAGGCAAAGGGGAGAGGATTGCCCAGAGGTTCAATACCAGCCCAGGCAACTTGGCAAGACCTCATCTCTAAACTAAATCAAAAAATTAGTCAGGCACAGTGGCACCTGCCTGTAGATCCAGTTATTGGAAGGCCGAGGCGGAAGGATCATCTGAGCCCAGCAGGTCAAGTCTGGCGTAGCCAGGAACATGACACTGTGTTCCAGCATGGGCAACAGAGCGAGACTCTGACTCAAAAAAAAATTACTGTAATCCCAGCACTTTGCCTGAGCCTGTGGGTTCGAGACCAGCCCAGGCAACTTGGCGAGACCTCGTCTCTACAATAAACCAAAAATTAGCTGGGCATGGCAGTGCGCACCTGTAGTTCTGGCTACTTGGGAGGCTGAGGCGGAAGGATCACTTGGGCCCAGCAGGTCGAGGTTGCGGTGGTCGTGAGCATGCCACTACCCTCCAGCCTGGGCGACAGAGTGAGACTCCAACTCAAAAAAAAAAA